CTTTAGCACGTAGGAGCGACTTTTGAATATCTTTATTCTCTAAATTCTTTGAAGTGGAATCTCATTCTAAAGAGTGAAAATTTAGCCAGTCTTGAAAAAGAGTGGCCCAATTTTCAATCTTTAAGAATGAGATTTCACTCTTCAGAGTGACAATAATTCACTCTAAAAGTTTTAAAGAGTACCTTGGAGATCTATGCTGTATAGAGTATCGTCAAATTGTTGATGCTTTCCAACGAGAAATACAGTGTAACACAGTGATCATTTCATCTTTGTTTGACATTGGCAAACAACAAAAATATAATGATTCACTGTATTACATTGCATCATCTGTGTCTTTTGCCGAAAAGCATCCTGTACTTGTTCCAAGATGGAAAATGATGTAAAACTGTACTGTACAAAAGTGATATTTTATTATATTAATATAATACAATTATCACGAATGTGACTTTGAAATTCATCTTCATTTATATAATAGTGAATAATATCATTTCATGTTTGTTGATCTGTAATCGTAATTATATCAATCTATAAATCTTGACTTTTTTTCCTCAAGGTTTCTCGCATTCGCTTCGTCATACCGTCATACGTCAATCGTTACGCTTTTTCCTTGTCCGATTTTATCTCCATATTTATTTCAACATTTTCCGGATAATCATTATTATATAGCTCATCATTTGTCGTCTATTATTTTCTATTACGTAAGCGGAATGAGACATCGTAGTGCACATCCATGTTTTCATCGATGCTTTCGACTGCGTTTTATTGTCGAAATCGTCGAAAGAAATCCGTTCATAAAAGAAAACAATTGGAGAAAAGAGAACAAAAACTCTTTTTCCCTTGCAAGAAATTTAAAAGATTTCGACTAAATTATTACAACGCACGAGGGTGACAATGTATTAAAACACGAAATTTACAAAACTCCTACAAAAGACAAGCAGTGGCATTAAAATAAAAAATTGAAACCGGTATAAAACTAATTTTCAAATTGTTCGATACCATATACAGTTACGAGAGAGAAATTTCTATAATTATTCGTAATGGAATAACAGTAATTTCGTTTCGTGCGCAAATAACGTGCAATTAATATTGATAATCATGCACTAGTTTCAAGAAATTAATATGTATTTTCTAAAATGCAGGTTCTCGCTCAGCTTTTGAAAGTATAATAACTCATTGAGAGCCATTAGTCGCGGAACTCCCTCAGAGTATTAGAATTACTTGGAAAATGTATAAGCCAACGCATAATAATGCATTGACGGTCCACGAGGGCGTATCGGAGGCGGCGAGATGAGCGGATGTTTAATGGTTAATTAAGAGTATCGATCTCGATCGGCGATCGAGAGAGTGCGACTGTGGGTACGTGTACTTGTACATTATGTATATTACGGCTTGCGTAAGTCGCTGCTCCAATTTCCAGTTACGGCGAGGCACACGCGTGAAATTACACGTTCAAAGTTGTCGAGTGGCAGGCGATTTGACACGCCTAGAACCGGGCGTCAAATTTACACCCGGGAATCATTATGATCGACACTCTCGCCGGCATTAAAAGATGCGGATTACGTGCGTACGTGCGACAAACTGCCAATTATCTCGCCGCCTTTACGCAGTTCCTGCAAAACGACCACCGGCTGCCTTTTCGTTCGCCGATCAATTCCGAATGGACATAATTATGAACGCGAGCAGCTCGTAATTTAACGCTTTTCGCGAACTCCTGTTGCGATTAAGTCGCTACAAAGTTGCGTGCGAGGGTTGTTTTTCCGTCACATAATCTGTGCAATTATTTATGTAAACGCGTGAAAATTGCACTCGCCAAATAATAATGTGACAACCGCTAAATCATATCGTCAGCAAAAGAAAAGAAAGAGAGAGAAGTCGCTATTCATTTAACGCTCTGTGATAACAGCAAGAAGAAGAAAAGGACTTATACGGCGATCTGTAGCTAGTACATACAAAAGTATAAATATAATACAAAGTATAGATATGATACAAAACGAAGAATTACAATGGATGCTTTCTGTTTGTGTAACAGTCACAAGTCGACACAAATATTATTATTCTATCTTTCTTCACATTCAATGTCGGCGTTCAGCAAAAAGGTAGCTTCACAATTGTGTATAATTCTTTAATATGATTGATCTTGATCTTAATTTCTCATGAACCTAAATGTAGAATTATATTAAAGAATTATAACAAAGACAGAATTTGTGCCGACTTGTGTCACCAAATGGAAAGCATCCATTATAATATACGATAAAAATACAAGCACTTGTGTGTATGTAAAGGAAAAAGAGAGAGAGAAATAAGTGAAATTTTATTGACAACGTAGATCAAAAATCATTAGTCTACTCAACGTTCAATTTCTTTTCCTCCAATACGACGGAGGTGTCGCGTTCATGTATCATTAAGATAGAATAATTACGTAACGTCATGGGGACTTAATAATTATTCACGCGCGTGCTGTGTAGCTATAAATCAAGTGGTAAATTTTGTAATATGCGCGTGCCAATGGATTACGTACATTTTCCAGGCGTGTAAATAAATTGCTTCTGCGTTCCTGGGCCGGTCAAAACCGACGCGTAACATGTTAATCATTTGCGACACATGGATGCAATTCGCGTTCTATGTAAATCGCGCTCGCATCAGTGACGTCTATTACGTCGCTGCTTACACTCGGGATCGCACTCTGCGTATGGAAGAACTGTGAATGATGAATGGAAGATCTATCGGCGTTGATTTATGAGAACGACCTTATAATAATGCTGTAATATTTTCATAGAGCATATACACGCAAAGTTTTAAATTACAATCCAATTAAAATTAAATTCAAGGCTAGGAATTAAAATAAAAAGACCTTAAGAATGTTAAAATAAAATTCCAGTCTGCAAATAGAACGAAAAATTAGTTTCTATATTTACATATTCGATACGCAGATCTTTGACTTTATAGAGCCTCTATAATACACGTAGATTTCTTTTTCTTAGACACCAGTCACGTAGACTCTCCTAGGAATCGCGTTGTGTATCGATAAGCGCGTTGAACGAGCAGCGAGTGAGAGAATCGCGACGCGTTATCACCTTTAGTTCTCGTGTGTGGATATATTTATGCTGCCAATGCCTCCGCTTATGCGTATGTTTTTCTCTTTTCTCTTATTGTATGTACGCGCAAATACGCCTCCGAGCTGGGCCGAAGGTAGAGAGATCGGGGACCGTTAGCGACACCTTGTTCACACGAATGCACGTGCATCGTGTAAATTTCAGGAAAGATTAAAGGGACCAGAAAGATGTGGCAACGAAAGAAAGAAAGAGAGAGAAAATACGTCGTTGTGGGAAAACGGGGTACTTCATCTCGATAAAATGAACTCCGAATGGAGAATGTGCGACCCGCGATTGCACTCGATTTACGATTATCGAGGACAAAAAAACACGCGTAGTGTTAACGTTCACGTTATCTCGCGCTAGTTTGCATATATTTGCCGGCGATAATTGCGACATAGGTTGACTGTGCGGCAAGCGAAAGTATTTTTCTTTTTAATTTTAAGTATTCCGAGTTCTGAGATCACTTCTTTTAAATACACTATATCAAAGGAACTCCACAAGATACTTCTTGCATACAAATAAGTCTCAATTACTCTCGCAATGCACAATATTTATTTCGTTAAAATGAAGAGAAATATATATACATCACATGACTGCAATGCAAATTAGAGAAATCCCGTCTCTATTATCTTTACATGATGAAAAAAAAAATAAATTGTTTTATGTGTCGACTGAAAGAATCCTAAAGGGGTGTCGCGGAAGGAAGCGAAACTTTTTGCCGCATGATCCGTGAGAACTTGAAGCTCTCGGCTCGAATCGTGATAAAAAAAAACCCTTTCTCGGGTCCCCTGTTCGCTCGTTTCCCGGTCAGGGGAAGGAGTTTTTAACGACGAGCGAGGCGAGACATTAAAAATCGCCATGCGGGTGGCGGGGTGCACTAAAAAAATCAGCGCAACGGAAGGGATCGTAGGAGAGATCGGAGGAACGGCGGAGGCTCGTGCGCACATGTGGCGGGAAGTTGTCGTTGATATCTTCTTGCCGTCCGATGACGAACACTCGCGAGAAATGGGTTCAATGAATCTGTCCCGGGGCTCGTATTTTTGCGCGTAGAAGCGACATCGCGCCGACCGATCTTAAAAATAATCGGCGGTTCACACACACAACTGGATGTGATAACACGCGTTAAAATAACTCGTAATCCTTCTGCCCAGCAAGAAAAACTATGGCTGATACTTTTGGCGGGATCCATCGATTTCAGTTCTATCGCCGATAATTCATACTATTTTAATCCTCCGGAACTGACGGTGAATTTATTGGACCCACTCCATTATAAATCTCTTTGGTCCAGTTTCACCAATGTAAGATTTTAACTTTACTCTCGAACTTTACTCTCTAATTCTTAGAAAAAGATGAAGAGTAAATTCAACCGAAATCAAAGTTAATCTTGCATTGATAAAACCAAGTTTTGTCGAAAATGTCAAATTTGAATTATTCTTATTAAAATATATTTAATATTTATTCTTATACGAGTATATATTTCTTTCCTCTCTCTCTTATACTAGTTATGTCATTTTGATTTCTTAATTAGTGCCTTTAGATTTTGTCAGTTCCGAATAATTAAAATATTTGCTATTGACCATAAATTATGATAATTTCGATAAGCAAACTCTCCAATCAAAATTTCCAATTATATAACTCTTCGTGCGAGAAATAATAGAGGGCGTACATTCACAAAAACAGAATTATAATTAATTAATTGAATTAAAATTAGGAGTTCGCAGATAGCTTCGCGAAGAGAATCGTTATAAAATAATTTATTTATTTGATCACGTAGGATTCGATTTTTCTTAATTTTAACTCATTCATTCGTACCACGCAAAAATAAATTCATCGTTCTTTCAATCTAATCCGATTCGCCTGTCTTTTTATAAATCCCGCGTGGAAGAAAAATATAAAATTATTTACCTTGCGCTGCGTTGAGGAAGGGATTGCCAGCGACCGGCGCGAGGATCGCTACCGCTGTTATCACCACCGTCAAGTGGTGCATTTTCGATGCGTGGGAAGGCACCCTTATTTTGAATTCCTGCGTAACAACGCGCGCGTTCACCTCATCTCACCACCGTACGCACGCGTGTTTCACCGTGAAGAGAGAAAATCAGAGAAAAGACGCGAAGAGAGAAAGAAAAGGAGGAAGAGAAGGAAGAGGAGGAGGAGGAGAGGGAAGAAGAAGAAGAAGAAGATATCAGGCAGCCTCACGGATGCGGAGGAGTCACATGTCGGGACGAGACACGCATGGCACTCGCACAGAACAGAGATGTGCACTCGAACGCAGCTCGCGAGCGACTGAGCTTTTCGTGGTGCACTTACGAGTCACGAGTTGAGCTTTTTACTGAGTGAGTGGGTGAGAGGAAGAAACGAGGAGTAGAACCGGGGCTCCCTGGAGTGCCGGAGGGGGACCCGGGTTCGACGAAGACGGGTAAGAGGACGAACGTTGCGTGAGAGTGGGACGGCGTGAGAGGAATTGCGTGTGTGGGTGGGAAGAGACGCGTGGCGCGTATACGCCTGTCATGCGGTGCAACCCGCTATTGTGACATCTTCGACCGTATACCCACACGGTGTACCCTGACGCATTATTTTTTCCTTTCTTTCCTCTTCCCGTCGTCCCTTAACCGCGCGGCGAGTCCTCGTAGTGAGTTCTTTGTTACGCGCGCAAGTAGCGAAATCCGGTGATGCGAGCGAGAGAGAGAGAGAGAGAGAGAGAGAGAGAGAGAGAGAGAGAGAGAGAGAGAAGAGCACGTAATGGATCACTTGACCGGGTATTCGTTCTCCATCTGCAGTATCTCTCCCCGAGTACTTATGTATCCGTCTCGAGTCGAGAGCACGCAGGTCAGACGAAAATCAGTCCGCACCCATAAATCGAATGTCGCCGCCAGCCTATTTGCCTCGTGGCTTCGAGCGGCACCGTATTCCGAGAAGGAGAAAAGCCGATAACCCAGGGACGGTAACTTTCACTGATAACGTCGCGATACGACGCAAAGTAAATCTTCCGTAATACATTTTCGATACGCTCAATACTGCTCGAAGGCTGGCGACGTGACGTCCTGTATAAATAATCCTCGAATTCGGACGGACATTTCGTCCCCAAACGCGACGAACAGATACTTCAGCGAGATAAGATTAGACCTTATTATAAGATAACTCACAGATAACTCACAACCGGATTCTAAGAATAGGATTATTAATCTGTTAAGAAAATCCACAGCGCACAGTGTTTTATGTGAACGGCTCAATTAAATGTCGGGGCGATTTTGTCGAACTGCATACAGCCCGCATTTTTCTACGCTTCATGATTTATCGCGCAGTCAGAGATTGAAGCGTGGAGGACCATCCATTTTTTATCGATGTCTCGCTGGCCAATGGGTGTCCGAAAACACGTTCGCTGTCGTCTTCGGATATTTGATTGACTGATCGGAGCGGATTCTCAGAGCAAGCTGTAATTTATTAATTTATTCCACCGATAAATCGCCTTCAATCCGCACGTGGGCAGCGGACGACCGGTCCATGGTATTTCTCTCTTCTTCGTTCCCCTTTTAATCTCGTCTCTCCTTTTCTCTCTCTCTCCTTTGCGCTCTGTCTCTTTAAAGGGGAGGGAGGCCGTTATTCTACTACATCGATGTAAATAACAGCAGCGCGGTGTGTCATTTGCGTGCGTTGCACAATTGGTGGGTGTTATGCAAAAATGAGTTAACCCGCTAATTTTAAGTAAATTAAATCTAAAATACAGTCTTGTTCCGCTGATCCAGCTACAAGTACCACTTTTTTTTTTATTTTGTCGATTAACATATCCTTAGCGTAGGACTGTTCGACCGATTTTCGCAACGATATTTTCATAGAGAAAATGCTTATACCGAGTGTTTCTGCACTGAGAAAAATGTGTGATTGAAAATGAACAAATCAGAAAAATTATATCAACCAGAATTCTAGTTATGACTAGAATTCTAGTAGATTTAACCAGAAACTTCTAATTGATTCATTTTCAACCAGAATTTCAATCAGACATTTTTCTCAATGTAAAATCGTCGAAATCATCGAATCGACGTCAAATCGATGTTTCTCACCTCCATTGTCGTTTCTCACTGAGTAGTTCCGGGATCGATACTTCAATATTCTTCTCGCCATCCGGCATCCTTCGAGAATTTCAAGACGATAACATAAATGCAGTCTCAAGAGAGATAGAAAGAGAGAGAATTTGTTCTCAACACCTAGCAGTCACGTAAAGCAAACGAGCGACTGGTTACGCGATCGAGGCTCTCCCAAGACACGTCCGCTATATATGTTAATCGCGCATGATCATATAAATATTCAAACATCGCTGGACCGCAGCTCGACGGACCTCCGACGTGCTACTGGTGTGGACTACCTTATCTGAGTATCCACATTACTACCTGTCGCGCATAAATAATTAACAATGAGTAACGATGTACAAATCAATCGTCTTGCTCGCTGTCGATCGGCGATTGGTACGCGTAAGAATGTAGTCCTCCGGCTACGTCCATTCTCGAAACTGAACGATTAAATTAGCCATAAAAGCTCAATCCAATCGTCAAACTGAAAATTACCGCCGGTAATTTCAGGTGAGCTGCTTACCGAAAATACTGATTTAATGACTGCTCTTGAAAATTAATCGACAAGACATGTATTTATTGTTTCCGGTGTAATCCACTTGAACGCTTGGATTCATCGAAATTCCGTCGATCCCTGTTTATCGCTTGATAGAGACATTCAAGAAAATGTGGTTGGCTGCATCTCAATTATTCGCCGAGATTCGAGAGAGCGTTCTTACCAAAAATTCGTTTACGAATGCCAATTCTGAGGAAACCAGTTTTGCCGATTGGCGAACGTGATTGGAGTCGCAAATGCATACCGGTCCAATTTCATCGAACGTGTATCACAACGATCCTTACTCTGTGCGGGAGGATGCAACTAATTTATGAGGCGAGACCGCAATGTTAACTGGCGTCACTTACGAGTCTCTCCTTCGCGACTTCGAAGCTAACGACGTGTTCGCACATGCTAGTGCAGTTTCATCTTCCCCCGTTTGTGTATTTCTACTCTTCCTTATCATTACGCAAAATATATAGCAAAGAATTTAAATAATTATATAGTCGTATATAAAACAAAATAATTAAAGAAATTATTTTTAGGCATAATAATATTAGCCTAATTTGTTCTTACACAGAAAGAATGATTTTACTAAAATATTAAAAAATTTAAGTAGATACAGATCTGAAAACAATTTTGTTGAATTATTAAAATAATTATGTAGGAAATATATATATTTATATGTATATATATTTAAGCATGATGATTAATACTGCAAGAAGTTTTGATATTTTAGCAATCAGCTTCTGCATTGAGCATTCTACATAGTTATTTTAATAACTCAACAAAATTATTTTCAGATCTCTCTATATCTACCTAAATTTTTAGATATTTTAACGAAACCGTTCTTTTCATATGTAATACTTAAATAAATTTTTACTATGATATTAAATATTCTCTTCTTGTTGCACATCCATTTAGTCTGTCTATTCATCTTCTTTAGACAAACATTCTCGATGACGTTCTTTGTATCGGAGCGATCTAATACCAGGAACACAACCCAACAACGCCAACTTCGTTGGACTCGATTTAACTCGCTCAAGTACTCGGAATGGTTATTAATTACCTTCGTACAGACGCGTCGGCTAATTGGACGGCGTTGTATGCATCTAGCAAGCGAGACGAGCGAGACGTGAATTTTGATTCATCTCGGATCAATACGAGAAAGTCATTGTCATCTATTGTCACGTAATTTTTCTTGTTCGCGAACTAAATAATAAAAGTTCGTCTCTCTAAAGAAACTGCAAAAGAAAAATTGTTTAAATAGAATGAAAAAAGTTACTTTCGAAGGTAAGCAAGAGATATGAAAAACGAAGCGTTAAAACAATATAGGTATAAGATAAAAACTTCGAAAGTTGAAAGATACATAACAATGTAGAAAGTTAAAAACATTGTTAAAAATGTGACGTGCAAGATATTATACATTATTCAAATGTATTGTAATATATTTATTACATTCTAAGATTACGATATTATTCTATTGTTGTAGTATAAAAGTTGGATATTTCGAGCAGAACAAATAACGTCAAAATGGCGTTAAAATGAATTGTGACTGATTGAAAAGTTTTGATTTTTAGTATAACTTAATTATTTTACAGCCATTTTTAATATCACACATTTTGATGTCTCGATAACTAATTGTGTTCTGCTTGAGATTCGATTTAGCAGAAAACTGGATTCACAGATAAATTCCCCTCGGCGGGTTCACTCTGGATCATTTATTTTTTACGAGGAAACAGAGAGCACGATTGACCAAGGGAGAAGGGGTAAACAGTTCGTTGAACGTTGGTATCTTGTGCCCCGTCGTCGAATGCATGTCGATGAGGCAACGAGCGGGCTTTAGCGTCCATTGCACCGTGAGAAATCGAATCCTCTGCGCGCGAATGTGTCGCGGTCGCGTGCGGAATTCCGATGCATCGCGACGCACCCCGGTCGTGCCCGTTTGTACGAAGATGCGACACTCGCGAAAGATAATAACGGGCGACGCGCCAACCATTCGTCCGACGAGACACCGTAATGCAACGCGACAGGCACAATCGCGTCGCATTCTGCTATTTGGATAATGCCGGGCTCCGCCGTGGCCCTCTTCTTACGCGCCGACGTATGTTATTACGGGAAGCTCGAGCGTGGAAAGACAATACGAGGACAATCAGAGAAATTGGAACGTAGCAATGAACGCGCCGTTCCCGGTATTTACCGGAGATTGAGATACTTGAGACACGTGCATTATCCCGTTATAATTATCTTTCTGTTGTCCTTCTATTTAGAAAGTATTCGGAAAAATTGTCACGTATAGTACATTTCGTGCGCACTTTCTATTAAAATAAAGCGGAATAATATTTAAAGTAATTTGGATCGATCTATTTGAACAGCTGGATCTAATGTAGATCTAAATTATTGTTGCTCATCTAGATCTGCTTGAGATTACAATTATTTTGATAGTCTTACAAAATTATTTTCAGATTTGTATATTTATTAAATTTTTTAATACTTTAGCAAAATTAATTGTTATTTCCGTGTGACAGTATAAAGAAATTATGTAATAACCTAATAACATCCCAAGGATAACAAGAAAATCAAAATAATGTCAATTTGACGTCATATTGACAAATTTATGTCATTTTTTGGTCATGAAAATCTCGATCTCAGATGATCTAAGAATGACTTTATATTAGGGCTCGCTATTATACGTTTAAACGAAAA